TTCTCGAATACCTATTACCTATTAGAACTCACGAGCATGGCTCAGGGTACATCAACACGTTGTGGGAATAAAAGGGTAAAGAATGAAGTCTTTGCCGTTAATCAATCCCTCTATGGGATGCGGCATTCTACTTCCTTTTCGGAAGTCGTAGTGGCTTATTGAATGCGATGTGGCCTATACAATGACTTGTGGGGACCAGCCTGATGTACAAGATCAGTGTTCCTATCCTCCCAGACTAATCTGGTACCAATTTACCGTCAACTCGGGTGTGGTGAGCGGTAAGGCTTGCTTGGCCTGGACGGGAGCGCTCCGGGAATTGATCCTTGGACTGCGCGCGTAGTAAGCGTGCCACATGCCGCTACACCACCTCCACCTCGCTGTGGGAATACTTTTGCAAAACACGACCCCCGTTCAAATTTGCTCCTCTAGTACCATCCCTTTTCCGTCCTACCTACCACCATCCCTACTATTATTAACTCTTGCCATCGGGGCATCGAGGGGGGGGGGGGGGGGTAGACACTACCGATGAACTAAACGTTAGGGTATATAGCACGATCGTGATCGTAAAGAATCAACGACCAGAAAAATTTCTCGCGGCAAAAGATAACCCTCCCCTCTCATACAACACCACTCCCCCCCCCCCCCTTCCTCCCTGCATTTAACACAACGAGTGGTAATGACTACTCTGGGCGGAATGTAATTCACGTACAGTAACTACGCCACACAGTAATGTATTCCATTTCTATTCAGCATAGGCAACTAACTAGAAAATGAGCTCAACTTCCCATTGAACTTTGAACGCATACACACTAGCAAGTTTTGGAGGGAGCAAGCGACAAAGTTGGTAAAAACGGACTGGCGCCAAGCCAAACTCGGGCCCTTACCCAGCGCCCCTCTTCCCTCCCCTCCTCCGCCTCAACATACGCAGCGGAAAGAAGTGTAAGCAAATTCAAATTCATCTTGATTTGGATAGAAATTTCTTATTTCTTTTCAACCGGTTTATCGCGAAAACGCCTGGCGCTTAGGGAGTGATTTTCAAAGGAAATGGGCCAGTTTGATAGCTTATAACTCGTTTATGCGACTTGAGATAGCAGTTTTGGTTTTATTCCGAGCCCCATCGACATAATTAGAACTCCTATTTAAGAGTAAGATTGAAAGTTGAAACGATTTCTTGGTAAGGTGGAACCAAAGAAAGTATGAATTCATCGATTAGGTGGAGATCCATTCGCCGATCCTATATGGATACCAACGTTGGACCTTTGCAAAATCGAATGCGATAAAGCTACGGAATATTGCGTGGAAAATGAAGAACTCAAGCAACAATGTAAAAAAAGTAAGTGGTAGTTTTCTCCATCGTAGTCAACCATTGATCAATTGCACAGATATTAGCTGGCACAAATTCATGTTATTATAACCTCAGAATCTCGAGAAAAAGCTCTTCCTTGGCCTGAAACTTGTTCAAATGGACATCACTCAGTGCTCTGATCACGAATATGACACTTATGTTTGGCACCACTGCTGCCATTAGGCGCCATTTTGGCGCCGTGGCCTCTCAGACCGAAAAAATATAATCTTCGTACTAGCACTATCTGGTGCACTATTTACGGATATTGCATTAACTGGTTTTGAGGTTGTTTTAATATGATAGCTGTTGACTTATGACTGTGGCTAGACCACTTGAACAAGGCGCCTCACGAACTGTTAAGCGCGCGGTTATAAATCCGCCGATACTGACGTAAAAGCGCGTTAGGCAAAGCGCGTTGGCACGAGTAATCTCAACGACGTTGAGATCAAAGGCAGTTGCACATGGTTTAGCCTCCTTAGTCTGAAATGCGTAGTAATGACCCGAATAGTGGGGAAACGACGAAGCTGAGAAAGGCCAAAATCGATGCTGAAGAATAAATGCCTCAGTTCTCGTGACTTGTAAATCGATTTCGGGACGAGTTTCCCATAGGCATCTTACCAATCACCGCTACCGAAGATACGGCTGCATACCACATATATGCATGCAGCATCACGGCCGCTTCATACCAATCCCTTCGCCGTCATAAGTTTCTTAGCATTGTTGAACGAATACGAGCGGTGCGAGTGTCCACTTGTGGCGGGCGGGCATGGCGGGCGTATTTGCGGACGTAAAGTTTAGTGGCTGATCAAGGCCCTTAATAACGGGCACCTTTCCTCGGGGAAACCGCCAGTGGCAGCGCCTGCCCCAGGGTCGCGCAAATTCTACCTAGCCAGGAGTATTTGCATCCCATCGTCGTAGCGGATTTATCGTGCCCAACTGCTTTAATACGCCTTAGTCGGAATAGCGGCACCCCCTGAGCAAGCGGCTACATAGCGCCTTTTTCAAGGAAAGTGGCTGATTATAGCGCTCTATCAAAGCTGCCAACACCACCGCAGACCAGCGACGTCCAACAACCGCGCCCGCGCGCACCAAATGGACGATGATTACTTGGATGTTCGGTATTCTTCATTTGCAAAGCAAAATCGTGAAGCCAATGGGAATGATATGAAGCGTCCGCGGTGCTACAATGGATATATGGCAGACGGTGGGGCGGGTGAGCCGCGCCGCGTGTGACTCGGCTGTGATGACAGTCGCGTCACAGCCGAGTCACATGCGCCGCCCCACCGGTCTGCAATGATGAGTACCATACATGCCAACCGTATCTACCCCGTAGAGTTTATGCGCGCATGCCAAAGGCGCGTAACCCCATCCGCAAATTGCCCTTCTGATTTCGGCTGCAGAACAAAGCTTTTTGCAATTTTTGGAACAGTTTCACTTCGCTTTTTCGCCATTTATCCCTTACAATATAGCATCCTTGCTACGTATTTGGAGAGCGCAGTACCAAGTTATCTGACTTGAGGGTCCTTAGGGAATATTATGACATACACATGCTTGAATTTGACACCAAATGCGGTCAGATATTTCACCAGAAGTTTGGCATTTGCACTTTTCTGACCTAATTCGTCATAAACTCCTTTTTGCGGGTGATCGTGAGACTCAAATGGACGTTTGC